GCACCAAAAGCAGGGGCAGCTCCCACTCCACCAACTACACCTAAAAGGGCAGTGTCCTCTGGCAATAGGTCAACTCATCCATATCCTGCCACAGGCACACATCCATTTTTCTGTATATGCAGCTGATCAGATTCTGGGCCAACTCTCCAAGGATTTAAAAAATCTGAGCAGTCTTCCCTCTGTGTCTTAATCTTCTCCTGGGTTAGGAGATAATGCACTCAGGCATTCCTTTTGTCCCATTGTCTAGAATAAGAAACTTAACCTGGCAAGGGCCTTACATGTGACCAAATCTTACCTTACATGGCAGACACTGACACTCCAAAAGGTTAAAAAGACTTGCCTTGTCACACACTTAAGTGATAATATAGTCCAGACTTGAACCTAGTGTTTATTCTACTGCATGTGAATACTTGTCCTACAATTCCTAAAGAAGGTGATCATTCTGGCAGTGTTCTGCCATCAACAAAACTGTTCAGAGAGGCCTGAAATCAAGTCCAGACTCAAATAGCTGAGTGGTCCTGAACAGGCAACTGAACTTCATAGAACCTCAGCTTCATCATCCACAAATTAAAATGATAATCTTCATAAACTACCTTGAGGATGAAATGACCTAGAGTGGAACATAATTAGTGTGTCTGCCAGTACCACAGGTACTCAATGCTAGCTGCTATTGCAATTAATTAAGCTGTGATCACTCAGTGAACTTCAGCTTGCTAGAGACAGCTTAGAGGTGAAGAGAGCCTTAAGAAATAAGATACTTCTGAGCAATGAAGAGAGAAGGCTGGTTAGCTCCACAGCCTTGAAAATTCTTAAACTACTAAACTCAAGACCATGTGGGGGCTGGTTCAAAAGCCAGAGGGAAGCAGTTATCAAATTCTCTTTCCAGCATTTGACCTTCTTTAGTGGACTCAGGGTCAGTAGGAAGAGCACAAAAAGTGCTGGACACAGTGCAGCAGAGCTATTCTTGGGACAAAGGCAGAATTTCTGCTATGACCATGACCTTGCTGGGGTGGTAAGGCTCTCATACTCTTGACGCACTGAATCCAAACTTTAAAAAGGGAGGAGGGTACAAAAAGGAAAACAAGAGGAAGAAAATTAACCCTAAAAATTATTCATTGTTAAATTTCAGCATCTGAACTTTTTGCAAGAGCCATAGAGTTAACAAAACTAAACAAAGACTGTTGTTACAGATACCTCATGGTCTCTGCATCATTGACAGGATTTTTCTGAAATTTCTGCTACTGTTCTGTTGACCAAAACACATATTCACTTTGCGGGGGTGACTATTATTATTATTGTCCTAAAGTCTACTACCCAAAGCACAAAAAGAATTCCCTTTTTGGTGTTTTTTAAAGAAAGGACTGGAAGGGGGAAATTCATCAATTTCTTTTTTTTTTTTTTTTTAATTTTTGGTAGTGGAAATTGAACTCAGGTCCTTGCACTTGCAGGCAGGCAGCAGCACCACTGCACTAAATCCCTGGCCCCATCAATTTGATTTTAAGCAGTAAAGGTAACTAAAATTTGGATGTTCTAGGATAGAAAGCAATTTCTTAGTCACTTTACCCTAACCTTTTATACATTTTGCTGTTAATCCTCTAGGTTCTTAATAATTATCAATTCTTTAAAAACTAAAATATATTCCTAATGTTAAACATAGTCCTTGCTTGTTGTGGAAAAATTTGAAAATACTGCTAATCATAAAGGCTTTAATAAGTTAGTACTGTGGTGAATAATTCACTTACGGGAATGTATAATTTTAAAAGTAAGAGATGTTGACAAAGATAATATTCAAGAAGTTAATTATTATGTTAAACTCTGGACAAATCAGAACCAATCTAGTTTTGCAACAATATAAGCCTGCTGTCTGTGGTATGCAGTCTCTAAAATGACCTCCAAGGACCTCCACTTCCTGATATTCAGTTTTGTATATTCCCCTCTCACATTCCTCCAGAATAGGTCTGCATGACCTATAAAGTAAGATATAAGATGATGCTATTTCACTTCTAAGATTAGGTTATCAAATGACTGCAGGTCTCTGACTCTACTGCTATCACTCTCTTCTCTCCAGAGGCTCATTCTGGGAAAGGCCACATTAGCTGTGGAGAGGCCACATGGTAAGCAACAAAAGCCTCCTGTCCATAGCTACATGAGTGAACATGGAAGCAGGTACTCCAGTCCCAGTTCAATCTTTTTTAAAAAACTCTTTATTAAGATATTATTAGCACATTAAAAACTGCACTTTTTTAAAGATATGGTTATGTAGCCCAGGCTAAACTCAAAAACACAATCTTCCTGCCTCAGCCTTCCAAGTTCTGGGATTGCAGGCTTGCACCAATACACTTAGCTTTTTGTACATATTTAATGCATACATCTTAATGGATTTCAAAGAAATCCATAAAACTGTCACCAAATCCAATGCCATGAACATATCAATCATCTCCTAAAATGTCCTCTTGTCCTCTGCATTTTTTAATAAGAACATTTAACATAAGACCTGTGTTCTTAGAATTAAGTATGTAATACAGCATTAAGTACAGGCACCATGCCACAAAGTAGAGCTCCTAGGATTTAATTCATTTTTCATCAGTAGAATCTTAAATGCTTCAGCCAAATTCTCTCCTCTAGCTGACAGCATGAATATAATTGCATGATAAACACTGATCCAGGATGACCTAGCTAAGCCATCTGAGATTCCAAAAAAGCTGTAATACACTGTAAGATAATGCATTGCTTGCTGATTTAAGCTGCTCACTTTTAAGATAATTTGTTATGTAGTAACAGATAAATAATAGAGGGTCAATACCAAGTTGAACATTATATGGTCATAAAATACCAGAGTTTTAAAGACTACGTGACATAGAAAAAAATGATGAGCATACAACATTAAACGAAAGCAGCAAAAAGCAGAACTATGCAGCAAGCACTGCATATTTTTTGTTTTCCTCTGTTAAGCACATGTCCTTCCTTCTCCTTTCATTTCTACTCATAGAACTTCTTTTTCTTGCAGGGGATCATCCCGATATGTTGTTACAAGAGGTGCTGACTTCAGTTCATGTAAGTCAAAGAAGTGAATCAGGTCAGATCAAAGTGTCTAATCCCCTTGGCACATTGTGAAAACAGACTAATGAGAACAATTTGGGGACTTTTCTTCCTATAGTTGATGGAGACTTTAATTTCCAAATAAATTTAAAATTAGTGAAGGTATTAGACACGCTGGATTGAATAATTATTAGTCAAAACCAACCTTTGAAGTTTTGGAAGTAAGAAACTCTTTTTTGCTTAAGCTAATAGGTGCTGGGGGCCCTGTCACTACACACAATACATAATATACAATATTGTCTCAAATTTTCAGAAAAATGAACTAAAATTATTCACAGATAAAATGGTCTACCAAATGCTAGGTGATTCTTTCTAGATTTACTGTTTCAAATTAATGAACTTGCTACATCAGAAATTTTTTACAGCATAGATTCTCTCAGCCTTCACATTTAGAATTTTGACCCAGCTCTGTTTTGCAGACCAGATCTTGTACTGAGTAACTATGACTTTAGATAATATATTCAAATATTTATTATTTCACAGGCCTAGAATATATCTGGAATTCCTGGCATGAAAGATTAGAATATTAGAATTGTTTACCTTTTCTTCCTTCCCTCCCTTCCTTTCCACTTGTCAAGCATTTGTCGAAAGTACCTTCATTTTTACATTGCCAAGCTTAACGCTTAAACTTTGATCTGAGACTTCTATTGTGAGGAATTGAACACCCTGTGGTATAGTAATCAGCTGAAATAAAACACTCAGACATGTATTTATGGTAATAAGCATTTTCTCAACTCTAATGAAGAATATAGTGCAGTGGTTAGAACAAAATAAGCAGCGGAAAATAGAGCCCAGTTTCCCTGCTCTGATTTGTCAAAAAATGAGTGAGAGGGTTTAAGGGTCACAGGAGGAGCCTAGAGCCTCCTCTTACCCAGCCTCCTATTCCCTGTCAACCTTGGAAACACATCATTAATGCCCCAACTCTAGCCCTACGCCCACAATACAAAGAAATTTCCCCTTGATCATGTAAGTCTGTGTCGACTTAGAATACTTCCTAATCAAATTCCTAGCTGGGCAACAAGGCTAACACTCTTTCATGTTTTTAACAAAGTGTTTTCTGCCACCTGAGAGGTTTCTTGCCTACAGGCTGTCCATGACAGCTGATTTAACTATTTAATTTGCTGTGTTTTGTCTGCATGTGATTTTTTATTTTTTTTCAGCTTTAATTGAGTTTATTGGTACATTTTAGGGATACAGTACATTTACATTCATTGTTGGGATCTTGTACCTCTACATGACAAGTCTTGAGTCTCATTTTTTCCCCCTACCCCTGCCCTCCCTTCACCCCCTCCTCCCCTCCCCATCTACAAACATGCATGTGATTTTTTAAAAAATGAAAACCAGAACTTTTTTTTTATTATGGCTCTGAAAACATTAATCAGTAAAACAGCAAGTGCTATTGTAGGATGACATTTACTTCTCTTATACCCAAATGGTCCTAAAGTCTAGACATAATGGGTTATCTCTTCTTATATTATGCCTGTTCCCCAAAATTAAAAAGGTTTTTTGGTCATTTTACTTACTTCAGGATACAGGTTTTGTGGGGGGTTTTAATTTTCATAAAGTTTTTAAATACTTCTTTGTGTTTTTAAGCTTTTTTACCATATTGTGCCTTCCAACACTTTACTCATTCTGAGGTAAGATAGAAATAAAGGTAGGTAGTCAGGAGATACTGAAAACTGAAATTTTAAAATTCTACTTTTAAGAAAACTGCACCCCAGTTTAAATTTTTTTCTCTTCTCCCAACACACAAGGCTGAGCAATTCCTTTTCACCTGCCAATTGACCTTTTTCATCTGTGAATATACCACCTGTTTTCACCTATGCATCAGTCATTGCTTACTAGAAAATCAGATTTAATGCAAGATATAAAATATAGAAGAATTTACAAGATTAGCTTACAGAGGCTTCCCACAGAGTCAGGTATAGAAGAGTACAGAAGGGTTGTCTGGGCACTGCAGATCTGAAGGATCCAGTCAAGGTCCTAAAGCTCCTCATAGTATCCCTTGCAAGTCCACACCAGGAAGATGAAGAGTCTGCAGTGGAATCCAAGAGATGACATTTGTGGTGAAGGTGAAGATTGGAGCTGCTCCCAGAAAAACTGAATGAGTCTTCCTCCTTCGTTTTCCTTCTGTACCATTTTTAGGTGACAAGTGGACCAGGGTAGGTCTTCTTTTCTCAGAAAATTTCTTCAGCCACACCCAGAACTATTTATTTGGGTATTTCTTACTCAAGCTGACTCAGTTAACTATCATAGCCTGTAAATTGCTCTTATTTTCAACAAAGTAGCAATATTAGTGGGCAGCATATCTCAACTTCAAACACATGTAAATGGTTTACACTGTAATATAGTCAACCAGAGGGGGAACTTGATGGAGGAAATATACATCCTAGATCACCCATCTTCAAGACAGTCCCAAGCCCCTTAAGAATATCCAGATCATAATGATCCTCTCTCTCTCTCTCTCTCTCTCTCTCTCTCTCTCTCTCTCTCTCTCTCTGAATTTGGGTTTTTTCAGTTGTTATTTTTATATCAGTACTTGTTTGCAGTACTAATTACAATGCAGGATTACATTCATCGTGGGGAGTTGGTAAATGTACATAATATATCTTAATTCTTTTTCATATCCTTCCTTTCCCTTCCCTATACTTCCCTCCATCTTTTGGGTCCCTTCCCTTTTGCAAGAGACCTTGCTCCCTATTTCTCATTATCTGCCTTTTATTTTGCTCTTTATTTATACTTTGACTTTCCCATGTAGAAGAAAACATGCAATGTTTAAGCTTATGTGTCTGATGTATTCCACCTAACGTTACCATCTCAAGGTGCATCCATTTTCTTACAAATGACTTAGGTTCATCCACTTTATGGCCGAGTAGTACTCCACTTTGTATTTTAAAAGAACCCACTTTCTTTATCCATTAATCTGTTGGTGGACATATAGGCCACTTACAAGATTTAGCTACTATAAATTTTGCTGCTATAAACATGAGTCACTGTAATATGACATCTTTAACTCTTTTGGGGAGCTATCTAGAAGGGGAATACCTAGGTCAAATGAAATTTCTATTCTCACTTTTTGAGGAATCTCCATATTAATTTCCATAATGGTTATAACAGTTTATGTTCCTACCAAAATGTGAAAGAGTTACTTTCTCCCCTGCAGACTCACCAGCATTTGTTATTTGATTTCTTGATGATAATTGTTCTTTCTGGGGTAAAATAAAATTTGTGTTGTTTTAATTTACCTTTTTCCAATGTCCAGAGATGTTGAACATTTTTTCATGCAATTATTATCTATCTGTACTTGTTTTCTGAGAAGGGTCTATTCATTTCAGTTGCCCATTTTTGATTGGGTATTATTTTGGTGGGGTTCTAATTTTTTGAAGTTCTTTATATATTCTAGATATCAGTCCTCTGTCCAAGGAATAGTTGGAAAAACGTTTCCCATTCTGTAGGTTGTTTCTTCATTCTGTTGGTTGTTTTCTTTTCTGAGCAGATTTTTAATTTGATATTATTCCATTTGTTGATTCTTGATGTTATTTCTTGTACAGTTGGGGTTCCCTGAAAGTTCTTGCCTACAACTATATCTTGAAGAGTTTTACCTATTTTATCTTACAGCAGATTATTCGTTTTAACATTTAGATCTTTGGTCCATTTTGATTTTAGGTCAGCACATGTTGAGAGATATGGGTCTAGACTCAGTGTTCTGTATATGGATATATTTTTCCCAGCACCACTCATTAAAGAGGATATCTTTCCTCCAGCATGAGTTTATTGCCCCTTTATCAAAAATTAGATAGCTGAATGTGCTTAGATTTCTTTCTGCATTCTCTATTCTGTTTCATTGGCCCACATGTCTTTTTATGCCAGTACCAGTCTTTTTGTAATATAATTTAAAGCCCAAGATTTTGATGCCTCCTTCTTTGTACTTGTGGCCCAGAACTGCTTTTATTCTGGAACTCTTTTGGTTCCTTATGAATTTTAGGATTGGCATTGGTGGCTGTATCAGCTTATTCTAAGATCCATGAGAGATTTTTTTTTTGGTTTTGTTTTGTTTTGTTTTTTGGTTGGTTTTTTTGGTACCATTAATGGCACAGAAGATCTTCCACTTGCCAGGCAGGTAAGTGAGCTGTACCGCTGAGCTGCATCACCAGTTTTATGGTCATAAATCATTAATTTCGTAAGGTTCTCTTTTTTATAGAAAGATCTTATTTCTCTATAAATTTTGAAATGTATTTCTCCTCTGCAAGCCCTGTTTTTCACACCACCCTGCCTTGGGGCCAGCTAATTATGGACTGAAACCTCTACAAATTGTGAGCTAAATAAATTTTTATAAAAAAAACTTTTTAAATGTAGCTTTGTAGGATAGATCAACCTACATTGGAAGATATTTTTGTCTTTTAGGGTTTGAAATACCACTCCAAGCTTGCCTGGCCTTTAGAGTTTGTGTTGAGCAGCCTGATGTAGTTCTAATAGGTTTCCCTCTGTAAGTGATTCATTGGATTTCTCTAGCAGCTTTTAAGATTTGTCCTTCTGCTGGACTTCTGGGGTTTCGACTATGCTGTGTTGTGGGGAGGCTCTTTCTAGTCATGACTATCTGGGATTCTATATGACTCGTGTATCTAAATATTAAATTCTTTCCCCATATGTTCTGGCTTGTATCTAGATGTCCTCTCAAAGCCTCTTGTGATCATAGGTGTGGCTCTATAGAGGTGGCTAGATTTAGAGTGTGTAATCCTAGGATTAAGTGTGTGTGTGATTACTACTGATTAGTTTTGCATGGTTCTGCATGGTTTGCATGGTTTTGCATAGTTTTTCATGGTGTGGATATGGGAAGGCTCAACCTGGGTGCACGTGTTGCCTCCCCTAAGGGTGTGTAGCCTGAATAGAATATGACAGAAAAAGAGCTGCTCCCATGACTTGCTGCTTGCTGCTTTTGCTATCTCTTGCCTTCTGCCTGCTATGCCATTAACTGTTTTATTTTCTTCTGTGATGACACTTTGCCATGCCACGCTGCCTTGAAACCAGCATACTATGGAATAAAATATCTATAAAAGGAGACAAAGTGAACCTTTAGGTGTTGGGTGTTTTGTCTCAGCAGTGTAATTGGCCCTGCTCACCCAGTTCTCTGGAAGCAGATTGAAGTAGCATTAATGACACAAAGACAATCCAGATATGGACATACAAATAAAATCAATTAATTGCAACAACTATACTACCCTGGTATAGCAACTAAATCGGCAACAATAATACCATCAAAGATAAACTTGATATTGACATGGCATAAGAACCAATAATGTATCACTTCACTATAAAACAGCGATCTATAATTATAGTATAAACACTAAGCCACTGAGTGGAATAAAGTAAATATCTATTAAATGCAACACTGTCTTAGTTACTTTCTCATTGGTGGGACAAAATACCCAACACCTGCAAGTTGAAGGAGGAAAGGTTTATTTTAGCTCATAGTTTGCAGAGGCTCTAGGCAGGGAGGCATGGCAGAAGAGAAACACTTCATGGTGGAGCAGACAGAGAGCAGCAAGCAACAGTGAGCCTTCCTTTCCTTTGTTTGGATGAATAGAGGTAAGATAAACCAGATACAGGGGGCTCCTTTGCCTACTAAAGGTGAGAGCCCCTTGGTTGCCTGAATGTTAAACTAACTCAGTCATTCATCCTCATTCACCCTGGGTCAGGGAGAACAAAGTGGCTGACCTATGTTCTGGAACACGGCTGCCCAGGTGGGGTCAGCTACAGGTGATGCCCCAATGTAGGGCTCAGGACCTGGCTCAGCTACACGGATCCATATTTTTTGCTGCTTTGTTTTTTGGGGAGAGTGTTTAGTTTAATATTACCTGTATTCATCCAAACACAGTACAAGCAATCAAAGTAACATAAGGTTTATCTGCTTTCCAATATCCATTAGTACATTCTCTGACAAACAACCTCTACTATCTTAAATTTTCCCTGGAATCTGTGTTATGGTTTGAGTATAAACGTTCCCCCAAAGCCTCATGTGGTCACAGGCTGGACCTAGAGTGTGTGAAGCTGGAATTGACTCACGATGCAATGCTAGGCTCAAGGGCACTAGAATTAAGGGTGTGAGTGACACTCACCCTGTCCTAAGTAGTCTCAATAAAAGGGGCAAGGAGATGCTATTAAGGTTCTCTTGTTACCTTTGCTGCCTTATGCACATTATGTTGTTTCTCCTCTATGATGCTTGTTTGCCATCCAAGGCTTGGAGCCAGCCAATTTTGGACTAAAACTTCTATGAACTATAAACTAAATAAACCATTTCCCTTTTAACTTTAGATGTCAGGTATTTTCTCTCAGCAATGAGAGAAAAGTAACTAACACAACCTGCAATATGCAATCACCCCCGAGTGTAGCCTTTCTCCTTTGTGCTTGCAGAGGAGGTCAGTTAGGCCTCAATTCTCCTCTGTTCTCTACAGGTCCAAATTTTTTTCTTCTGTATTTTTGAATGAGTGGTTTCTTCTAGGACCTCCAGTCTTAGAATCCAACAAGTCATAGTTTTCTCCAACCAGATTTATTACCCATGGGTTTGTGAGCTCTAAAGGTCCCTCTGTCCATACAACCCAGGCTATTGCAACTGCCCAAACTGAGGCTTGTCCCTGATCACATTGGTAGATGGGGAAATCAATCAGACCACTGATCTCTGTGTTGGTTGTAGGCAGTAGTGTGGGAGATCAAGACAATTGCTGGACTTAATGCCAGAACTTTCAGATCCAGCCACCTCTGAAAGCCACACACACTGAGTCTGACTTCTCTTCATGGAGGGCAGGGCTCTATAACCTTCCCAGATCAACCTAAACATCTCAGGAATTTTATGTCTAGCCTACACCCTCTCTATGACTGTCTCATGTGGCCATCTTCCACCCAGTCACTTTGATAAGATGACACTGGAAATTCTAATGTGTAGTTGTTCTGTGGCTCAGTCCTAAACACTTAACCCCTCCCAATATGACTCTTGATTAAACCCTCTCAAATGTGAGAGGGGCTAGCCTGGATTTCTTC